ATTTATAGTGAATAATAGGGGTTGTAAGAGGAAGACGAATGATTTGTTGTGGCATAATGGATTATACCGCATATGCTATGAGAAGAAGAAAAAATTTAAGAAGAAAGGTTTTCGTTTTTGCCTTTATGATAATAACTCTGTGGTAGAGTTAAAAGTTTTCAAAATGGACTACTATAGCTTTCGAATGATTTTGGGAATTATCGGGAAAAAATTGCATGGAAATTTTGGATAGATGAAGTACAGCCGATAATATTCCGATCGACTTAGCATTGGCTCGGCAGAAACATATTACTTGAGACAAGATATTAGTTGAAGGCATCATATGAGCATGGAACAAATATTGCCAGAGACATTTCATCGACTTAGTTAGGTAGAGTTTTAGTTCTGAAATGAATATTATCTCTTTCAACCGAAGCTTTTTAAAGGATTGGATTGCCGGATCTATTCACACCCGTATATTAAGCAACTGTATCTAATTACCATATCTATGAGATTGCCGTCTCTAATTACATCCGTATTAAGCTACCGAATAGGTAGATAATACCTAAATCAAGCAGCCGGTAAAAATTTCAATTGCAATGTATAATATCTGATGAATCAGTTTCGACGCTTTGTTCTGTTTATGAAAGAGAATTTGAAAAAGTTTTCTCCACCAGATCACGAATTCATATATCAATAATTATCACATCAATAGTTTGTTGGGGTATGACTTTAGCAATTAAGTGAAGAAGTTGCCTTTTTTCCTTAAACCATTAATTAAAAAGAAGGGAGTTATGGTTAGTGGAAGAATTATTGCATTTAATCCCAAAATAAAGGATTAACAGAGGGTGGATTTCAGCAACTGTAGGAGTTCCAGTATTTTCTCCTCGAACCATTAATTATCAGGGGGGTGACTTTTAAACAAAACAGAGGCATAAGCTTGGCTGTAGTTTCATGCCAAATGTGATCTGACAGTACAAACATGCGTATAAATTTAAAGCAATGCATATGCATCGCTTATGGTAGAAAATTAGGCCTTTGTATAAGATTCAATCTTTAGGCATATATATATTGGTAACATTGAAAATATACCATATTTATGAATATAGGCATGGATAATTCGCACTAAACGCCTAAGCCAGGACGCACGAGATTATTGACAAAAATGTTAAATTTCAACCTCGTCGATTTGAAACTAAATTAGCATGGCAAGAAAAGAGTTCATATTTTTTCGAGCTTCCTATAGGCCAATTTCAAATGATTCAACAGCATATATCAAACAATCCTCTCCTCTCCCCTGAACTTGGATTGCCGAATGCAATTATAAAACACCGTCTAGGAACATTATCATTCTAAAACGAACAATATTATTGCCATTTCGGAACAATTTCAGTGCAGTTCAGCATTAGATTGTCTCGCATTTTTGCATGTGTAAGTCAAGTAATAGGAAATTTTTCGTTAAGTGGAGCTCGTCTGCTGTTCGGTTCTTACCGGAGGAAATAAATCTCCGAGATAAGTAAGCAGCTGCTGGATATATTCGCTGCTCTGCATGCATGTGAGTGCGGCTGGTGTCATTAAAACCAAACTCGAATAATGAAAGTTGGAAAAATATTGAATTGTTTCTTAGGTCTGCGTTGGTATTGTTTCTATTTATATCTGAACGACATACATTTTTGTCCACACAACGACACAACTGGGACTGTTTATTCATGCGAGTGAAAATACCGTCGCAAACTAGCGATCTAAGGAGATATTTTTCATGCGCTATTAACGACCATTCACTTTTCACTAATGATCGACCATTCTAATAATCTGCAATGGTTTGCGTTGCATTGCGGCGCAGCGTTTGAGTCTCAGTTGATGGTGTTATTGTGTCACACTATATTAATTGTTATAATGATGTTAGAACTGGGTGAAGATGTGTCAGTACATTTTTAGTATATTAATTACAATTTGCAGCACCATTTTGGAGGCAAAATCAATCCTTCATCATGATCGTTGATCGGCTGCAATTATACTCTTGACCACCATGCAAATCGCTGATCGGTTAGAATACTCGCTATATAGTCATGCATGATAGTTGATCGACTATATATGCGAGTATACACTACTCGTTATATTGACGATACTCGGGATCGACAATATAAAAACTCGAGATTGACTTTAGTATTTACAAAAAGATGATGATTTCTTCCGCAGTTTTATCGCTGCCGAACTACGTCGTATATATATACATCATTCGTGCATGTGTATAGTTGTTCTAGTTAATTAAACGGAAGCTCTTGTTACATTGTACTTGCTTATCAATGGCATGAAAAACTGGGCTGTGTGTTACCATATCTGTCGCGTATGAGCTACTATCCTGAGTTACTATAACTATAATATACTATATGATGTGCTGCAAGCATATTAATTGTGTTCCTGTACTGAAGGAACACGTATATAGTACTGAATATCTTGTTGAACATATCATGAATTTTTGCCAGCATAACGCAATTTTAGTTCTTTTCAGTCTCATATTCGGTGAATGTAGGAGAAAAATATATTAGCTGGAAGGTTTGTCTAACATTCAAATGTTTAAGCTCGTAATGAGATTAATTTTAAATAATTTTTTACCGATTATTGAAGAATTTTATGCAATATTTTTTCGTCACATTTTTAATCGTAGTGCCCTCGTCGGACACTAGATTATTTTTAGAAATCTTCTCATCCAAAATTGTTCGATAAGTAAAAAAACATTATAGTTTAAAGCAATTGGAGTCCATATTAAATTTTTAATGCACGTCGAATCGATCGACTAAAGTAAAGTATTATAATACTAATTAGAGTATTGATATTCATGAAGTATTTCATTTTATTGAGTATTTAAAAATATTCAAGTTGCATAAGTGTATGGCATAAGTTATTCTCAGTTGTATTAGATTCGGTTCAATAGCTTTCTTATTTTTTTAATACTTTATCGATCGGAGACGATATTTCTGCCGCAACGTTTTGCTCATGCTCAAAGTTTTAATCTTTACACATTATGAGCATTTCAGTGTAGTGAAGCCGTATTGACTGCTGCAATAGAATTGCAATTGATTACGTTGTTGGCAACGTAATATGTAATATAATTTTCTTACACAATATTGCTCCACTTCTCCCCTGCATTCCGTCAACTCATTTCTGTACAAATTGTTACCATGTGAAATGTCCTGAAATTTCAGCGACTCACTTTTGTACAAAATTAAACAATATGAATATTTTATAATTTATTATATTATGTCCTTTTTCTTTATGGTAGTTCACCAAAGAATTATTATTGCACATGCATCCTTTTATTTTTTATATCTTTAAGTTGCTCAAAAATAATGCACTCACTTCGATCGATGCATTCTTCAAAGAAATAAACAGATATTATTTTACGAAATTAAGACATTGTTTAGATCATCTTAATTCCATAAGATGAGATTGCCTAAGTTTCACTTATAAAATTACTTATTTTTTATTGCAGTTAATATCAACAATTAAATGATATTTTATCTGTATTCATAGTCGCAAATATTAACTGAATATAGGATTTGATTTTTTTGAAAAGTGCTTTGTACGTGTACATTATTAATGTAATATATGAAAAAATGATCCTTCTTCATAAATACTTATATATGTCACATTTGATGTTCCGAATTGTTTTGATAATGTCTATATATCTTTGCAAATATATAATGTTCGCTAAAGTAGAAAAGAAAACCGAAGTTTATTAACGAATCCATTTAATCGTTATACAATACTTTTTGTAACGAAATAAATATACTGTCGAAATATAGACAATATTGAAAACGATATATGCTCAACCGCAATCGCCCTCAAATGTATAAACTAAAAATTTTAGCTATGGCATCATTGTTCTGCCAAGATAGGTTTTATTTTAAATGACGCATTTATTAATTACTTTAAGATCATTGAATTGAATTTAAAATTTCGGAGCTCAAAATTTGCTGACATTCTACAAATTTTGCAAATTAAAACTGAGCAATGTAATTTTGGGTGATTGAAAATTTATATTTTTGTCAGTAAAGTTCGCAACTGTTGAATTCAATGAAATTTTTTGAATCAGGTTGGACGAAGATAATTTCAAAACATGGCAAATCACATTGCTTCCAATGATCAAACAAAGCATTAAGCTTTTAAATATTATGATAAAAATATTATGATAAATAAATGTAAATAAAATATAACGATAAAGAAAACCTTGTTAGTAAAACCTTTCACATTTCTTTCTTTCGAGATCCATTAGATGGATCCGCCCACACATGACTTGTAATTTTGATGAAAACTCGTCACGAAATGAACTCGTCTGTGCACCGATTTTGTCATTTAATCCAGGCTTTTCGCTTCACAGGTTGCATGATAATTAGCTTCATTTGTTGGAGCTACAACAAGCCCATGCTGAGTACATGCCTTCTTCTAAGTAAGGAACAGTGTTCTATGGTAATTCAGACGCTATCCCACAAGTTCGTAGCCTATCTCTCGATCCTACATACTTTCTTGATAACTTCAACCATGCCGACAAGGATGCTACTCAACATAGTATTCTTGTGCAAGGCTTATCCATAGCTCTTTTCAATGGCAGAATAGCTATAACATTCAAGGTATGGGTGCCAGCTTTCACGGTTACAATAAACTAACCTTTAGACATCAATTAGAAGGATCATTTGTCAGGGATACCATTCATCAAGTGCCACAGTGCTTGGCAACTTTCAGTCATTGGCGTTTCTTAGCCAGCAGTCGCCGACCAGTCACCGTCAGTGGGGAATATTTATGTTGTTTGAGTCCAATGGCGAGGTAGTCGCTCGAGCAAAGGTGGAGTCAGGCCCGGGGAAACCTGTAATTATGGACCATGTGGAGCGGCGACTGGGTTTTGAAAAAGGTAGCAAAGGAGGAGTTTTAAGAACTAAGGGCGGAGATAGAGGGCAACTGGGTTGTGGTCTGCACAGGTGAGGGCTTTTGAGGTCTTAACTAGCTAGTTTGTTTAAGGTGGGTCTCGCGGTCGCTTGTGTGACGTTTATCCCTTATCTTGTCTTTGACTTGAACACTTGATATTACCTTAGGACAAGTGATACGGCGCATTTTGAGGCTGGCAAGGTAAGTTCCTTATCAGAAATGATGCTCCGTATTTTGGAAGAGTACTCGATCGTTTTGGTTTACAAGCTGTGTAAATGGGAAAGTTTTTATTTGGTCCGTGCCTTGAGTGTTTAGCGCTGTGCGGCACCGACATGCAATGCTTCGATCGCACTCAATGTTTTGGCTGCAAGTCGAGTGATGTTGCAGCATTCATGGTGTTTATTATTATCTCACTAAAAAAAAGTACTAAAAAAGTTTTGTGTCAACATGTTCAAGAAAATTTTCGCCGGTATTGCTCGTTGTCTCGATTTTTTCTCCACGAATATTCCTATCTTTGATCGAACGAAAGTTTGCACTCTCATGCAGCGTTGTTAATACTTTTTTATGAGAGCTTTATTCGTGATTTAAATTCGATCAAGTTTCTCAAGGACAGCATTATTCTCATCTAATATCAATTAGAAACAGGTTTTAATTTTGCTACGCCTTAAACACTTTAACCTTTGGGGGAGGAACATGCGCTAGTTTTTTAATGGACCAAGCTTTCTGGAACTTATTCGTTTTGTTTTGTTATAGTGTGAGGCAAAGTTAGCTGTAATTAATAAAACTTACTCGAGTTGTAAGGAGACGAAAATTACCAGTGTACTACGCAGTGTTTAAAAAATTACTGTATTAATTTTGTACGTGTGGTAACAGCGAAGCTTCAATAAATGAATTCATTGATTTGATTTCACTCCAGTATGAAATTTTTCCCAGTGCCAACTAAACTGTATATTCATGTCGTGAAAATTAAACCCGAATTGTTGTCGAATTATTATCTATTTGGAATAAATGCACTGCGTTCTTAAGCATAATAATATTATGGAACATTGATATTGAAGTGCTGCATGGAAAAATATGGATTACTCTAGTGCGTATTTTCTTAATAAAATATCCATTTACAACTAAGTGGATGGTGTGCTTATCGAAATAATTTTCATCATCGATAGGAGATCATTCAATGATAATACAACTCATTGTCGTAATTATTATCATCAAATCATGCATATATCGGCAAAAAAATTTGTCAGGCGCTCAGTCAAATATTCATTGAATTGGCCTTACAATATCTAAGGAACATATGTATTAAAATGAAATCCTTAACAGTAAACACGGTTGAAAGTTTTCCATGCTTGAAGTTTTTCCAGTGTATTCAAAATATAAATTATCATTGCATTGACGTTAATTAAATGTAGATCACCTGCATTTTACATACGTTTAATTACTCCTTTTATATCGTGATTAAAATTGTGTGAGATGTGCTGACGAGTTATTTAGTTTAATGAATTTTTATAGTTTGACGATATCTATTTTAATGAAATTTGTCCACCAAGAATTTAAAAGCAAAGCAAAAGTTAATTCACAGAATGTTCGCCTCACCCTTTTTTTCGCTTGGTTATTTTAGTCTTCAATTCTTGCGATACAAGCGAAATAACGTTGTAAGTACATATGTATATATAGTCCTAATTCTCAGTGAACTTGCGATACAAGTGAAATAATTCGTCGCGGAATCCTCGACTGAATTATAAATATTTCATCACAATCCAGCCAGTATTCATGCAGCAAGAATGAATGGGCACGCAATTGCTGCCACAATTACTGGTGCTCCGCTGCTAAACAAGGCAAGGTTTTAAATACATATATTATTTGTATATTTTGGACCGGGGTGCAAGATAAGTATTTTAGTTACCGTCATTACCAAAATTTACGTGGTTCAATTTTGTTGGTAAATACCTACTCACTCTATCCTTTCACCGCATCAAGATATAAATTTTTGTCTTCAATTCGAGTTCGGTTTTAGCTGCTTGGAAGTTTTAACCAGCTTTTAATTTTCAGCAATGCCATAATAATGTATCTCAGATTCGCGCAACAGTATGTCGTTGGTATTGCAATTCTAACTCTGCAGTTTCGCTCGTGAGTAACTGAAATCATGCAGGTTTAGTGATGAGTTTACAGTGAAGCCAATGCTAATATTCATGCAATGTAATATAAAAAATTGTACATAGAATAAAATAGTATGTAAAGTTGTACTAAAACATTAGGATAATCTCGTCAATAACGCGCTTATTATTATTATTATTATTATTATTATTATTATTATTATTATTATTATTATTATTATGCCTGATGATATGCCACATGCAGGTTATACAGGATTTTCTTGAATGTACGTATTGTATGCATTATATCATAATATATCATCATATGTATTACATTACATGTTCTCTATATATGGATATGTTGGAAAATCGCGCGTGCTAAATGTTGAATGAAATTAAAATTCTTCTGATGATTAAAAATTTTGTAAGGTTCAATAAAACATTCATATTGGAATAAATTTGATGAATTAAGCTCGAACTAATGCCTAAAATGACCGAAGAAAATGTTAAAAAGCACTAAAAAAGAATCTATTCCAGTGATGTCTGTTTCTAAAAAAAAAATTAAATTCCATATTTTACGGAAAATTAAGAGACGTAATTTTAACTACAGAAAGCATACGTTTAGATCAGAAAAGAGAACAACTATAATTATAATTGATTAAAGATTTTGAGTGTTACTGGTGCTGTAAGTGCTCAATCTCATTATTTGTGTGCGTCGTTAATCCTTTTACATGTAAAACTTGGTATCTTTTTTAAGTAATCAGTACGCTATAAATGATCACACAACTCCACGACAAAGAATTGTGTTGAATTGCATGTGTGTTGTGTATATGCAAATTGAATTTCATGATTAGCATATAGTTGTTTGCTAAGTTCTTGACAGTTTTAGGACTGAAGTTGTGAATGGTAATAGTGAGATGGTCGTAAACTTCACTTAACTTCTACAGTCATGCTGTGTATTTTGTCGTAACCTTCTAACTGCTTTATGATCAAATTATTTGCTATGGTTTTCGATATACATGTAATTCAGAAAAATTAAAAGAATTGTAATAAATTTATGACGTTGGACCTCCTTAAAATGTTCATACTTAAAAGACATCTACAGATTTAACAGAATAATTGTTTCAAAGATATCAATTAAATAGTACAAAAATGGCTAGCCGTGGCTTGGATCCTAAGTAGGATTTTGGTTATGGATTTGATTTAGCATGAAATAAAGTCGTTCAATGGTGTTAATATTAAACGAAAGTATAGTATTGCGGGAAGACAGTCGGAAAACGTAAATCTGAATAGATAAAATGTTCATGCAGTCTATATCGGCTGCCGATCCCGCTGATGACTTAACGCTCACACATTAAAAAGGGAAATTCATATTTATTTATATATTTTTCGTGCGTTTTTCAATGATAAAATTGAAATGCCGTTTCTTAAATTTTAGTTTTAAATAGATAGATTATACTGATTTGCATATAAATGAAGAAATGTAATTACACTTCGTGTCATCGTCGGTGTGTGTTGCGTTGAATATATTTTACACCTGTTTGTATCTATAGTTTTCTATGTATAATTGTAGCAAGGATACTTTTTATACGCTTACTACATGTAATTATTGTATGATATTTGAATTCATCCTAATAAGTTTCCAAGGATTTACTAGAATTTCTCGAATGCCATTTGTATTATAATTTTTTGATAATTCAGTGTCAATTTAAATTATTTGTCATATAACACACGCTTTGCATTTCTGGGCTTAATGAATTCCAGTGTAAGTGTAAAGAAAAAAATTCGTGGTCATTATTGTTATTTTACGATTGTGAGCCGATCATGCAGGGATTATAATTAATAATTTAAACTTTCATTCCCGTATTTTTAGGATATTCTCCTTGTCTAATTTGAGTAAAATAAAGTTCTGTGAATCGTGATATTATGGTTAATTAGAAAGTTAGTTGCAAATGTATGATCAATTCATTTATTTATTGATAGAAATTCTATATGGCAATTAAATTGATTATAAAATTGTTTAAATAATGTTATCGATGTTTAATATTAAAAATTAAAAAAAAACCGGTTTCAGTTAATGTCAAACAAAAATATCAGTCAATATAAAAAATCCACCGTATGGTAAAAATATTTTCACTCACTTTAAAAAAATGTCCCCATCACTTTAAAAAATTTTTATAGCGAATCCGCAAGCTGATATTCCCACTGCTAGAAATTAAACTTTACAAAATTTATTCGAAAAAATATCCCTTTCAAACGGCTCCAAGCCGGAATTGTATTATTATTACTCAGAATTCACCATCATTTACTCCACAACTTAGATATTTCAAATTATTGATAATTTATTTGCAGCATGAATTGAGTTAGAAGTTGTAATCTTTCCCCACCGCAGAAAACACATTCAATCTCGTAAATCCGATGAAATTTATAATTCTGAGCTTCATTCATTAACTTTATGAGCTTTTAATCGTTGAACCATTTGAACAGTTTAATCTATTGAACAGTTAAACCATTTTAAACATTGAACCATTGAACAATTTAACCGTTTAATTGATTGATCAGTTAAACTGTTTTAGCCATTTAAACCGTTGAATCATTTGAACCGTTGAACCATTTGAACCGTTGAACCATTTGAACCGTTGAACTAATTTGTACCGTTGAGCCATTTGAACCGTTGAATTGAATTTACAGTTGAACCATTGGAGCCGCTGAACCATTTAAACAGTTCAACCACTTGAATCGTTGAACCATTTGAACCGTTTAATCGATTGAATAGTTAAACCATTTGAACCGTTGAACTATTGAACCATTTTAACCATTTGAACTATTGAGCAATCGAACCGTTTGAACCGCTGAACAGCTGGAGCAGCCAAATTAAAGTTAATTAAGTCACTGATTCATTTTACGGCACATGCTAAGTCAGAATTGTAATCATGTTCGCAATTTTATAGGATAATACCTCAACTTCAGAATTATAATTATTAAAAAAAAAAGAAATTTAAGATTGAGAAGTCTGATTTTTTATCTATTGAGTTGAAGAATTTTTAATCAGTCTTTCTATTTGCATTGATATGTGATTCACATGCGACTTGAAGTTAGTTTCCA